ATATATATATATATATATATATATATATATAGTCTTGCATGGTAGTCACAAAGTTTTTCCCATAAACTGTTGTTTTAAAGAGCGCGTTAATAAGCCTGACCAAAAAATGTTAAAAAACTTCAAAAAAAAATTTTTTTTGTTTTTGAATAATAGACTGCCTGCCCATGGCAAACCCTCAGTCGATGTAGCAGCAATCCCATGCGAGTCTGGCTATTCGTCAGTTATTGTAGCAGCACTCCCTTGCGAGTCAGGCTATTTGTTAGTCGATGTAGCAGCACTCCCTTGCAAGACAGGCTATTTGTCAGTCGATGTAGCAGCACTCCGTTGCGAGTCAGGCTATAATATAGTCGATTTAGCAACACTCTTTGTAGCACCAGGCTATAAGATAGTCGATGTAGCAACACTTATGCATGTATTATAAATGTTTTTTAATAAAGCAAAAACAAAAATACAACATATTAAAAATAACTTTCTAGTCATTATTATTGCGGTTTTTTTTAAAAACAATAAAGTTTTATGTACCTCTGTATTAATTTAATTGCTTTGACATTTCGACAACAATAAAATGCAGCTTAAGAGACGAGGTAAAAAAATTGTAGTCGAAAGAGACTTTTTTTACCATACAAATCTCTTTCGACTAGACTATAAGGATATATTTATATATATATATATATATATATATATATATATATATATATATATATATATATATATATATAACATACCCTTGTAGCAAACAATATTGTGGCGATATTGTTTTCAATATTGGCGCAATATTGTAAACTTTATCGGACCAATTTTGCAATGTGAACATTTTGCCAATATTGGTCAATATTGGCGCTACAATATTGCCGCTTAAATTGAAAAGTCAATATTGGCCAATTATGGCAAAATGTTCACACTGCAACATTGTCCCGATATAGTTTACAATATTGGGCCAATATTTTAAACAATATCGGATGTAGAATACAAATATTGTGCTTTACCTATAACAACCCTGCACGACGTTTTTGTTTCATTCCATACACTATGAAAAACATACTTCTTTAGCCATTAGCTGTATTAAGATGTCCGCTCTCACATTAGGGAGTGCCGAATCACATTATGGAAAACCGTCTAATACATACACATAAGGAACCATTATACTTTTAATACAACCAATTAAAATACATTTGTTTTCTTATTTTAGATGAACTTTATTACTTCGGTTGGTCCACCAACCGAAGTAATAAAGTTCATCTAAAATAAGAATACAAATGTATTTTAATTAGTTGTATTAAAAGTATAATGGTTCCTTATGTGTATGTATTAGACGGTTTTCCATAATGTGATTCTTATTAAAATATGACATTATAGAAGAGTAAAAGCAATTGGTTATAAATAGATTATGAAATCTGTAGCGGTGAATAAACCCTACAGATGTCATAGATATCTAAGATTAGTAGTCATTGCTACACAAAATAAATTGCTAACTGGGCACAAAAGATAAAAAGCACAATAAAATCTAAAAAGCATTTATACACAACATTCTGATTTACAACATAATTATAGTCAATCACGTATCGTATTGTATCATTTGTTTCATATAAATGTATCATATATTTTAAAAATTAGAAAATTTAATAGTACATGATACTGTTTCCGAAAACTATTTACTAATATCAATTCACTGATGTATATTATTGATTCATAAGGTGTCTTTGTTCCATAATTTTTCTTCTAGGTTTAGAAGATCTTTTTTCATCTATAATCGGCAAATAAATTTAATAAATCGAAAGAGATAGTCAAGCAAAGCTCTGATGGAATCACTTAACCCTAAAACACTAAAGATTTTTTCAATCTTTGAGAAACTGAGAGGCAATCTCATCAGTGTCACTTTTTTTGTAACCTGCATCCTTTTAAGCTGGAGGAACAGATAATTCTGTTATAAAGCAGTCTCATAACAGTCAAAAAAAAGTATAAAGATAAGATGAAACCATACTAAACAATCAACATTTACTATATTTGAGTCAAACAAAGCTGTTTAGATAAAAAACAAAGACAATACTGTAAATAAAACAAAAACAATATTGTAAATAAGCCAATTACCAAAAAATTCTTATTTTCATCTGCTTTCAGTTATTTTTAAAAGCTTGACTTTACGTATTGCAGCCTATAGGCAAGATGCTTGCAAGTGATTTGGCCAATACACCAAACTTTCATTGATACGCCATGAAAAACAGATTACATTCATGGCACACATTTTGTTTTTTCAGTGAAAAATTCAGCCAGAGCACTTTTTGTAAACTTTATTACCTCCTTCAGTTTAACGGTACATCAACTAAAAAATAATCACAAATAAATTTATGATATAAAAAAACTTCAGATTAACTTTCTTTTTTGAGATTATTATTTTTTTTTAACTGAAAATATTAGTCTAAAAATTATTAAGATTCATTTTTTAATGTTTAATGTAATCGCTTTTTATTGCAAGTAGAGTCGAATTATTGCTTAGTAAAAA